CTAATGCATTCAGATAGAATAGGTTCTCCACTTTGTTCATAGAATTGTTGCTGGAGCTCATCCAGTGACTGTGAGCACAAAGTGTCTGGAGCAGAACACAACCCAGAACCCAGAAGTCCCCTTGCCCAGGAAGTAAAAAGTCATCTTTCCTCTTAAACTGGCCGTCCATTTCCAGCAGCATTCCCCTTTCCTCCAGTTGTATTTCAAAGGCAGACAATGAACACTACCATGCCTTGGGGGAGAAGACACTGGTTGCTTAAAAAGTAGTGTCTGAGAGGACAGAAGTACCTTCCTTGAGTAACTCAGTGGTCTCTACTCCAAAATCAGATTTTGCTTCACATAAACAGTTCTGATCTACCTTCTTTTAATTGATTTAACCACACATTAAGTAATCAGATTCACATACAGGATTCTGGATGACATTCTGGTCAAGGTTGTCAGAAGATACATAGTGCAACCTAATCTGCCGATACTATGAGTCCTTACTAGATCTAAAGCAGTTCTTGCAGATGAATGGTTATAACATACAGGTTACATACCAACAAGCACATTTAATCATATAAATTTTCTACAAATCAAAGCACATTCTAAAACCAAGCCGAATAGGAGTAAACATGCTGTACACAGTTTGCAGAATGAGGAAATAGATTCTTTTATTATTAAGCAAACCCCTTGCTCTCAGTGGTGACAGCAGACCTCTGCAGAACTATTGATTTCAGTGACTGCTGAGCAGAGTGAATGATTAACAACTTAAAAAAAGCTGTTTTAGTGGGAGCCAAAAAGCCAAAATACAAAGGAACTAAGCTTCAGGGCTATGCAATTAGTTTTAGTGTAAAGTATTACTATATAATGATTCTTAATATAACTTTTCTTACGCAAATGTTGAGAGTGATGGTTGTTAAATATCCAAACAGCAGGTGAAGACAAAGCCAGATAATGTATTGAAAGCTTTTCAGAGTCCCTACATTAGTCAAAAACAGAACTTCAAAGACTTTAAATCTAACAAGAAGTCTCACTTCAAGGGAGAACATATTAAAAGACTTGTCATAATCCAGGCAAATTATTTGCATTATTTTCACTGCTGAAAAACAGTTAGGTAATCTACAAGTGACAACGGTCTTGTTGATGTAAGTACATGTAACTACTCCTAAGAGAAAATCAGAATCCAAACTCTCACTTTCTGCTGTGCAGCAAATCATAAGCAACTCTTGACTCTGAGGATGAGCTCAGGAGATTAAATCTTTATACTTTGAAAAAAGTGTCTGGTTAAGTCCTCATAGGCCTTAAACATCACCAAGTCACTGCAGGAGTCAGTAAAACAATAAGATGATCCAATAACCCAGCAGCAATCCAACTGCAAGCAGGCAGATTAAGAAACTTGGCAAGCATAGGGAGCACTCTGCATGCATGCCAAAGAACTGAATTCTGAAATTATTTCTGTATATTAATGAACGAAACTTGTGTAGCATGCTTTATCACCAAAAATGCTATTTACTTTATGCATTGTCAATCATGAACTAAGCTTTCCGAGTACAAGATGGCAAATAACAGAAGTGCCTAGTCTACAGCAATTGCAACAAAAATTACGAAGCCTGGAATGAAGGTATTGCAATGCACTCCTGCAATGAAATGCAAGGAAAACTTGATGAACAGCAACATTTCATGAGCTAAACAGCACAGTGGTTTTAAAATTTGGACTATATCTATTTACAAAGTTAAATGTTTCATAAATACACAGACACAAATAGACAGATACTCTTAAAACAGTAAAAAAAATATTCCATTACACTTTGTGGATCCTGGTTTTCAATGAACCCAAGCAACATTAAATATTGCTGTAGTATATTTCATACTTCACTGCTAATTTTACACTAAACAAACACTGCAAAAGGGAAAATAGCCCTTTATGACAGAAGAGGAAAAAAGTAATTCCTGTCCTTTCCATAACGCCTACATTTCCAGAAAACCATGGACCTGATCCTTCAACTGTACACATTTAATTTCTCATTGAATTTAAATCTCATTGATTTCAAGAGAAAAGAATTCATATTAAGAAAGAGAAACAGGTATACACATATATTCTGGACCAAGAGAAAATTGAGCCTTTTAACACAGTAAACACACTATTACTCCTATACAGAGGTTTTGCTTACACAAGGAAAAAAACATTACGGAAACGAAAAAGTGCACGTTAAACATTTCAACTAATACAGTAAAACTTCATTAAAATTGTAAGTTTATACCAACTGCCATTAATAAAAACCATCAGTTTGTAGTTAAGTGAGATGGAATACAGAATGTGCAGAGGAGAACTGCTTCAAGCACAGTGAGCTATCAGTCCTCAGGAGGCAGAATCCTGTCTCAGTTAAAGGCAGTGGCAATTTTACCATTGATTTCAGAGTAGAAAAATGCTTCCTCCCTCTCCCCCCTTTTTTAAAAAATGTCAGACCAGAGTGAAATCCTCCCCCTTCTGAAGAAATTTGACTAAAACAGAAAAAGAAAATAAGTATACAAGATTTATTCTCAAATCTCTTGCAACAATTTGATTCCAGCAGCTGAGAATTTTATCATCTTTCTCTGCTATACCCAACCCTGCTTTGTCTGATTACATATAAACAAAAATCATATGCATGAATTCCATTAAGACTGGAGAAGTATGTACCAGAGCAGTTTAATACGCAGAACAATTTACCACATGCAGCAGGACTGACCATGTTCGGTTCAGATCACCGAACACTTGGCTGTGCATACTCTCCTTTTGAAGTGAGAGTTGCCCTTGTGTGGATATTTCTTTCCTTGACCTGTACCAAGCTATTCTTTTGCCCCTCTTCATTTCATTCCACTAAAAAAAAATCTCAACTAGGGATACATGCCTTTCAAGTGTGAAAATCGCTGGACTCCAGAAGGGCTCCACATTTCATACTCGGGAAGTTACCCAAGCATGAGGGGAATGCTATCTAATCCTAACTGTTTAGGTACACGAACATGTTGCCAGATGACCCAAACGTCCAGATCTCTCCTACGGCTGTGTTTTTTGTGTTGGCAGACAGAATTTCCCTTGAAGGCTAAAAATGAGGCATATACCAGTAGGAAAAAAAATCATTTGATTTATGAGAAGCAAAACTGCATTATGTTATGCCAGGTCCTAGTCAGCTCCCTGCCAGCCACAGCAATGAGCTTGGGTAACTGGATTCACTACTGAATTCAGGTACCTAAAAGGAAGACAGCATTATTGTGGTTGCTGTGTTTTTTAAATGTTTTCTCAGTGAGAGAACTTCCAGTTTGTTACCACCATAATTCTGAAATAAGAGTAAAACCATAAATCAGCTGCTTGCAAAAGCTTGCAGACCATGACAGAAGCACTCTGAATAGATCACTGATGTCTATTTCTGGATATCTATCTAGTTAGTGTAAGATGTTATTAAGCAGTCTTCACAGAACTGTTCTGCAGCAAATAAGCTCAGTGTAGCCCTGCCACTACATTTACTTGCATGAAGTTTCCTGTGATGAATATGTAGTCCATAAAGTCTGTTTGACTCGGTATATTTTGAGCAGAATAACTTAATGCCTTGCTGAGGTACCTTGCCTTGGATGCTAATGTTTGACACTGAAGACTTGGATGCTCTTCCCCTACAAATCTTCCTACCAATATAAGTCACCTTTACAGATTTAGCCTAGTTACAGGCTCTACTACCAACCCAAACACAAGCGCATCATAACCTGAAGACTGGCAAAAGCTCTAGAACTCAGGGGGAAAAAGAAACACTTAACTTAAGCCTTCCAGAAATGCTTTCACTGGAAGAAAGCAGCAATTGAAAAGCATCAGATCAGGCTTGTGCCTCTGGAAAACTGTTTGACAATTTGGATCCACGCAGATAGCTTTTTACTAAAAGAGTTACACTATGCAGGATCCAGCTTAAAAAGTTGTTCCCATGAAAGAGTAGCAAGATGTAATCATAGGAGGTTTTTTCCTTCTTTTCAGTTAGGGAAATATAAACTTCACTGTCACTGGGTTAATAGTTACACCATTATTCAACTCCAGAAGGCAAAGGCATAAAATCATTGTGCCCAAAGAAACTAACATAAAATATTCCATGGGGCTTCCAAAACCTTGCAAAAAACTGAGAAATGGAATCTGTGCTCTCTTTCACCACTAAGCAAGAATCAACCCGCACACCTGCCCATTAACTGCAAAAGAACACACTCTAACAGAAACAGTGAGGCAAAGATGTGGACAATCAGGAAGCATTATTCACACCACTAATTCTTGGTGAAATAACAATAGTATCCAAGGTATTCAAATAAACCACAGGAAGCATTAGAAGCCTGCAAACTCTTAAGGCAGTGAAAGAGTTGCAGTATCTGTGCTTGAGCGGGCTCAAGCTCTACTTTTGCTAATGGCAGAACTCTTACAGTTCATTGGCAGACTGCAATGAATTTAGTACTTCTCCATCAATTTTAACATATACTAAAACAAAGTTTAGAGCTTTCATTTTAAGATGACCAGATTTAAATAGAACCCAGAACTATATGATGTTCTCTGAGATCAAGAGGCTTATCATAAAAATTCATGTGCAAAAATCTAAGTAAAAAGAAATTTACTATAAAAAAACCCCTGCAACTTTAAGAAACTACTGGATCCAGAATTTTCCCTCAAATATTGCAACTCATCTTTCAGCTGGCACACAGATGACATTGCAGTACCACTTCAATAAGCAAGAAATAAACGGAAGGAGATCAATGGGGAAAAAAAAAAAAATCCACAATGCTGTCAGCGACATCCTAATTTCTCAGTTTCACCTTACAGCACTGTTATGAATGCAGATAACAGTAGTAATCAAATATAACAAAGAAATTGCACCATTGCAATACTATTGATTTTTTGGCCATATGCATGGGCCAAATTCTACCACTTATCTAGTGAGATTTTTTAAATTGAAACCAAACATAGTTTTTCCAATCATTGCACTTCTAGACTTAAACAAAAAAAAGACCCTTACCAGGAATAATCATGAATAAAAGCCTGGGTAGATTTTTACTTTCATCTTTTGAGAGGTCTTTCCAGGGCCCACACTTTAAGACATGGGTAGCAGCTCCACAACAGTAGATAAATTCTTCATGCAATGGGACTGGCTCTTCTGACGCTGACTTCACGTTTGCTGTCAGACAGAATAAGATACTGTTATAACAGACTAACAAACATTTACATAGCTGGATCTTTGCTATTACACCTTCCCATAGAATAATTGCAAAAAAAACCAAACTACCCTCCCCAAACAGCTGTAAATACCAGTAGAGAGAGGCCCAATTCAGTATTTCACGTTTGAATAGGTCATAGAAGTTGATTCATGTTATTACTATAGGAGAGAAAGCATCTTTCAGTTACTGTCACAGAAACGTACGGTGTTGAATTGGACAATAGGATCTATTCTACCTTAAAGGCAAATAATTTTAAATTTCTTATTCACACCATCCACTGAAAAGATTCAGCTGAAACCAATTTGAAGGCAAACAAATGCAAAAATACCAAACAAGCAGAAGTACTGCATGAATGTTTTCACAAGTTCTGTGTGCCTCAACTACGGCAGCACAGCACCACTTTAAAAATACCACCAAAAAAAAACAACAAAAACCCACCAGAATAAAACCCAAAAGAAAATACCAGAGGCCAAAAGGAACATGCTAACTACTAAGCAACTAGTTAAGGATAACATTAGGCCTTTCAAGTCTTTTTGCTTAGTGTAAAAGGCCCATTGATTTTTGAGTATAAGGATCCAAATTCTATTTCCTAGTCAGTCGGTGAACTTTTAGGCATGGAAGCTGAAGCCCACGATCTATAAAGTTCGCAGGACCATAAGGTGGGGGGCGCTACCTTCACAAATAGTCACTGGAAAATTCTCAATGCTACACAGCTTGAAGGGAACAGATCTGAATGAAACTAAGTAATGACACTCAACTACATTAAAAAAGTACACTCCTAGAAACAACATTTCCTGACTTCCCCCAGTTCTAATCTGAACTTTTGAAAGGTTGAAGTTAAACAACAGGCTGTGCAGAAGAGACAGATAATGTTTTCTTTTGAACTAACAAGTACCACCTTGAAAAAAATTGAGTATAATACAAATAAAAAATGCTTCTGGAGGGAAGGGAGAAGCATTGTTTAATACTTTTAATTACTGCACGTAATTAAAATTTAATTCTCTGAATTAAAATTTTTTCCCCACCTCCCTAGCTCACACCCCCTCTCCCAAAATATTAATGCCAACAGAGATATCTTTACTTCTTCATTATTTGCTATACTATTGCCTTTAACTTACAGTTACTGGAACAGATGTAATTGAGGCAAATTTCATCACACTATAATACAGTAAATTTTTAATGCATTATTCCTGCTTTTATTTCTTGACTATTCAAAGCTGAAAAAAGTCAAGAGCAGAGCTCTGACAGAGAAACCCAGTTACATCAACAACCAAAATAAACATTAAGCTTGTCCTTCCTTTTCTGAGGCACTTTGGATTGCTTTACAATCCAAGAAGCAAAAGTTACAAGTCCTTACCCAAGAAAGTAGGTTTTAGGCAAAGGTTCTGATTATGAATCAATAAAATCAGTTGTAAAGTTCCATTTTGAATTGATTTCACTGAACAACTCCAAATGAAATCCCACTGAGAATTCTTTATTCACAAGTAGCATTTGCAACATAAGGTCATAAATTAAGCAACGAAAAACGGAAGCTCAGCAACACATTTTGAACTGGAGCGCTAGGCTTTTCAGGTTCACACAGACTCTTGTAGTAGCTTTGGTCCAGTTTTTAACTCATCTTAACTTCTAATTTCTAATATGCGCAGTGTTGCAGCACCTGAAAGCAAGACTGCACACTAGAGAAGAAAAGGTTTTCTGAAAAACTGCCCATCTGAGAGAACCCTAAAGGGTTTCCTAGTACTAACTCTCTATATAAATTGACAGATTTTTATCTATTTATTGCTGGGGTTTTAATCGGTAACTTTATGGCCCCTAGTAATAGAAATAGTCTGATGAGAAAAACAGAGAAAAGACAGTGGCTATACTGCCAGGTTACTACTCAGACCTGTTTTAAGATAAAATCAGTAATACCCAAAAATACTTCTGGATCTCCTTCCCTCTTCATAAATGAAGCTTTGAAGAACGGTATTTCCATTACAGGTATCTATCTTTGTCATGAATTGCCTGCATTTCCCCTAGAAATATCTTAAGATGGCCTATCAATTTCCAAACACATTTAATGGGCAGAGGTCTTGAGAGATGAGACTTCTATCAGCTCAGTCAGCTGGCAGAGAGGGCACAGCTTGTGCTGCAGCTCTAAGAAAGCCAAGGAGAAGACAGAACCACAAACTTGATCAGTGTGAGTTTCAGAATTCTCACAGTGGAAAGTAATAGAGCAAGAGAAAGCGACGGAACGATGTAGGAAATCAGGCCTTACGACATCCCATGCAATATTTTCTTCCTTCTCTCCAATCCCTGCCCATAAACTCTCTAATCACATTTTTCTATAGAAAAATACTAGAAGAAAGACAACTTCCATCAACAGTACTAAATCTAGTAAGGAAACTTCTGCTAGAACACATAAACAAGGGCTTTGACTTACAGGGTAGGGCTTTGGCACTAGATTAACACACCCTTAATGTAGGTGTCTACCTGAAAGCAAACTCCTATTAATAGGATACAAAGATCTAGGTGACAGCATATGGACTGATTAGTGAATAACCATGAGACCAGCCACTTGGTTTCTACCTCAGGATGAGACAAATGATCCCCTAGTTAGCAAAGCCTATAACGAGAACTTAGACATACACTTGCACTTACAAACACACACATATATTAGTTGTCTTATTACTGAGCTGGATTCCACCTACTGTCATGGTTTCAGATAGGCATCTTTGGAAATGGAGTTCTCAACAAGCAGCAGATTATTTCTGCCATACGACTAAGTCTCTTCATATTCATCTTTGCTTCAACTGACTTGAAAGTAAAATGCTGACAGTAAAACTAAGTTTCCTTTGCACACACTGTGCTTAATTATTTATGCAACTGTCCTGATAACATATTAACTGCTCCATCCTACACTGTTATTTGGACTTGACATTTTATTTGGGCATAAGAAAATTTGTGATCTGCATCCAAACTAGCATTTAATGAAAGAATTGTCACAAACTCAGTCTAGCACCGCATAATGTAACCAGAGTTAGTTGATAGAGATTTGGTCTACAAACTACCCAATTGCAAGACAGGACAAACAGGTTGGTGTGCCTGATCTGAAGAATGATGCTGACACCTGGACAATAAGACATTATGCACACTCAGCAAGTTTGTGCATAATACCAGATTGAGAGGGGAAGGACGACACACTGAAACACTGGAGGGCAGGGCTGCTATCCCAATGGACCTTAACGGGCTGGAAAAACAGGAACCACATGAAATCCAAGGGCAAATGGAAAGTCCTGTACCTAGAATTCAGTAACCCAATGCAGCAACACAGGCTGGGGGCTTGAAGGCTAGGAAGTTACTTTGCAAAAAAGACACTTGTGGGTAACAAGTTCGAAACGAGTCAGTAGTGTGCCCTTGCAACCATAAAGGCCAAGTGTATGCAAGCCTGCCATAGCAGGAGTAGCCAGCAAGTTTTGGGACGTGATTATCTTCCTCTGCTCGGCATCGGTGAGCCTGCATCTGGAGTATCATGTCCCGTTTGGGACTCCTCAGTATAAGCAAGACATCAACACACTGGAGAGAGATGGTATGGATGACGAAGCATGTGATGCACGTCCAAAGGACAAGGACCAACAGTCAAAAGTTGCAATGCAGGAAACTCCAAGGTTTCAAAGAGGTTTCCCAACATGCACAAAGAAGATTATTAAATAATGGAAAAAGTTGCCCAAAGAGGCTGTGGAATCTTCAACCTTGGTGACATTCAACGCTCGACTGAACAATGCTTTCAGCAACCTGACCTATTTTGCCCTTTTTGAGAAAGGGGCTGGACTACACCTTAGGGATGACCTACAGAAGTTGGATGTATGTAAATTCATGAGACTGGACAAGATACACCTGAAAGTGCCAAAGAACTGGTTGATGCAACTGCAAGGCTAATGCTTATCAAAGAATCACAGTAAAACAGGGGAGCTCTTGATGGCTAAGGGGAAAAAAAAAAAAAAAAAAGCCAAGAAAAAAATATCTAAAATCATATCCATTTTCGATCAAGAAAGGTAAGGAGATGCATCCAAGGCACTATAGCTGGCTCTGCTGAGTCTTTTGGGAAAAAAAAAAAAGTCACAGGAGTACGTATTCCTCTAATCACATAAAGGTAAAGGCGTTAATCCAGAATAGGAAACAAATGTCTCAATGGCAAATCATGCTCAAGCAACATGACCAGCTTCAATGATAAAATACCTGGCTACAAGAATGAAAGAAAAGATGTAGATGTAATGCACATTGTCTTATTAAGACTTCTGGCACTGTCTCCCACTGAGTTCTCCTTCCCAGGCTAAGGAAACGCAGGCTGAATGAATTGACTGGCATAGTTTGAAAACTAACTGAACAAGCTGTCAGCCGAATGTAAAACAAGTCAAGTAATCTTGAGTCAATATTGGAGCCTATAAAGCTCAACATTTTCATCAGAAACTTGGATGATGAGACAAAAAATGCAAACAATACTAAATCATCTGGGATGGTGGATACAGACAGAGCAGAGCTTCAGTTCAGAGGGTTGTTTCCTTGCGAGCCTTAAGGACTGGGCCAACAAATCCCTTACGATGCTCAACAGTGGAAAGCACAAAGATCTGCATCTGGAGCAGGCTTCAGAAGCAGCTCAGAAGTAATTGGTTGAGTAGCAGCCCCGCTGAAAAAGGTAAGTTTGTCATGACGGATGCCAAACTGAAAGACAACAATGCGCCCAGTTTTGTTCACTCCACCAGGTCAAGGACACAGGGAAATGTGGGAGCGTCAAGTAGACGACTACGCAGAGGTTGAGCAGCCTAGAGCACAAGTCCTCTAAGGAAAAGCTTTATGAACTGTGCTTTTTTAGTCTGCCAAGAGGAGGATAAGCTGTAATCAAGTAACAACCCAGAACTATTTGAAAGAGACTTGCAGAGATAACAAACTCTTCTTTGCAATGGCAGATGGTAAAACAAGA